TTCTTTACTTTATTAAATATCTATTTTCTATTAATGTATTTTATATAAATATCTTGCATCTTTACTTTAATAAAAGAGGAGAGTTAACTAATTATCTTCAAAATAATAAATATCAATAAAGACGATCTGACCCTTCAATTAATTAAACTCGTGTTTATTTCTTTCATAGTTTAGACGTAATTAAACTCCCTGTTAGCAAATAATCATTGTTAACTTAACGACAGACTGTTTAAGATTAACAAGGTAATTTTAAACTTTTTTTAAAATATTAAAATATAATTTAATTTTAGTTAATTTTTTTTTATAAATATAGCTTATAATAACAAGCAATATATGTTTAATAGTCTCAATAGTAAGTAATACTAGTTTATATATACTGTTTTAATTAATGAAAATTATCAATTAATTTGTTCATCTTTTACAAAAAATTATAAAATATATACTTTTAAAGATTTACCTGAACTAAAAAATGCTACTAAAGGTAAATATTCTATTATATTTTTTATTATATATTACTTTAAAATTTAATATAAGTTCTTAAAATTTTATTTATCTTGATTAACAAAAATTTTTAAAATATTATTTATATTAATATAAATATTAATAATAATTTTTTTATAATAAAAGTTTATTTGAGTATAGGAATTAGAAACCGATTATTTAAAAAGATTTAAAATATATCAAAATTTAGCAAATAATAAGAATAGTATAGCACAATATTATTTAGGTGAAAGTTATTACAATGGAAATTTTGTTAAAAAAAATAAAGATACAGCTTTTCAATGGTATAAAAAATCAGCTGATCTACATAATAGTAATGCACAAAATCAATTGAGTCATTTTTATGAAAATGGTATAAAAATAGAAAGAGATTTAAAAATGGCAATTAATTGGTATCAAAAATCAGCAGAAAATGAAAATAAAATTGCACAATATAATTTAGGAAACTGCTATTATTATGGAAAAGGTGTTGAAAAAAATATGGTTAAAGCTTTTGAATGGTATGAAAAATCAGCTAATCAAGATTTTAGTAATGCACAAAATGACTTAGGATTTTTTATGAAAAAGGATTGGATATTGAAAAAAATTTAAAAAAAGCATTTTATTTGTATCAAGAATCTGCAAAAAATAAAAGTAAAATTGCACAATGTAATTTAGCTAAATTTTATCATTTTGGATTAGGAATAGAAAAAAATATAAATAAAGCAATTGAATGGTATGAAAAATCAGCAGAAAATGGAAATGAATTTGCACAACATATTTTAGGAAATTTTTGTGAAAATGGTATAAAAACTAAAAAAGATTTAACAAAAGCTTTTTATTGGTATCAAAAATCAGCAGTAAATGAAAATGAAATTGCACAATACAAACTAGGATATTTTTATGAAGAAGGTATAGGAATTAATAAAGATCTAAATAAAGCTTTTAATTGGTATCAAAATTCAGCAAAAAACGGAAATAAAATTGCGCAGTATCACTTAGCCAAATGTTATGAAGATGGTATAGGAATAGATATAGATATAGAAAAAGCAATTGAGTGGTATAATAAATCAGCAGAAAATAATAGTAAACTTGAAAAAAATGTTGGAAAGTGTGAAATAGTTAATAAAAGTAATAATACAATTGACTTTATCAACGATTCCTTAGATAATAAAGTTAAAAACATACTATTTAATGAATTACTTAATCCAGAACCACTTAATCAAGGTGGTTTTGGAACTATAACAAGAGCAACTTGGTTAAAAACAAATAATTATATTGTTAACAAAAAGTTAAACAATACGATTATGCTTAAATGTAATAAATTACATGCGTTTATTCATGAATTACAAATTCATTTGCGTCTCAATTATTGTTCTCAAATTATACAATTTTTAGGTATTAGTCAAGGTAATATAATAATCCATTTAATTTATCTAACACTAATTTATTAGTTCAGTAGTGCCTTACTTTTATAAACAAAATGCAAAATTAAATAGATCCAGATACAAGCGATTTTCTTCTCGTATTGCAATATGCAAACGGTGGCGATCTTCAAAAATATCTTAAATAAAATTTTAACAGATTAACTTGGAATGAAAAGAATCTTTTGGCATTACAAATTGCAAATGGATTAAATTATTTACATATTGAAGGTGTCCTGCATAGAGATCTAGTAAGTATATCGCTAATGCTCATATTTATTATCATTACATTATTATTAAATTAACTTGATTTAGCATTCCAAAAACATAGTTATTCATGAAGATAAAGCTAAAATTACAGATTTTGGTATATCAAAGGTTGACAATAATCAAAATTCTACTATATTTATTGGCATTGTTGGTAAAATAGCTTATATGGAACCAAATCGCATTTTGGCTCAAAATTTCCATACACAAAATTATCAGATGTTTATAGTTATGGTGTAATTATGTGGGAAATTTCTAGTGGATATCCTCCCTTCGAAAATAAATATGATGATAATAGAGATCTTATTCTTGCAATTGCTTGTGATAAGGCTCGTGAATCTTCAATACCGAACACTCCGGAAAAATATGAAAATTTTATAAGAAATGTTGGAGTCAAGAACCTGAACACAGACCAACTATTTCAGAAGTATTGAAAGAGTTTTCGAGAATGGGTATTAGAATAAATATTGAAGATGATAAATCAGTTAACAGTAAGTATTTAAATAAATTCATTAATTTTTTTATAATTTGAATTATTTAATTTATATTATTAAAATTGCAGCAGATCTCGTTAATAAAAATTATGATACTGAATCAAAATTTGTAAAACTTCTTCGCAAAATACACAAACTATTACTTATGCGAATTTATCTGGTATGTTTAATATTTAATTTGTTTTATCTTTTATTAAATATTAATATGATTTCAATTTAATTATTTTATTTTAGTAACAGATTATTAGAAAGAATAGCAAATCAAGATAAAGATGATTATATCAATATAAACTCTTATCGTATTTTAATACATAATTTAAAATAGATTTTAGTGAGCTTTCTTTGAATATATCAAGAATAATCTTGTTCCAATAATATAGTATTGATACAGTTACTACGCATGAAGTACATAAAATATTTTAAATTTTCTGTAAAGTAATTTATTATAATAAAATTAATTGAAATTCATTCTTGTATAAAATAATGACAATGCGCGTTATTAAATGAATTCTTAAGTTCAAGGTAATCATAATTACAATTACATATGAATGATAAATGCTGGTCAAGCATTATGACAAAATTTATATTATTAATTGCGAAATTCTACAAAAATATTGATGCGTGTATAACATAAAATCACGAACATCTCAACCAAAATTGTAAATAGGAATTTCAAATTTGTAAATTGGCAGGAAGGAGAGGTGGGTTTGAACAAAATGGTCTAGGAGTTTAATTTATAATGTAATAGTCTAAATTCATTATGCCATTTTTAGACGAAAATTGATTGGCACAGTAAGTGAACGGTATATCATTCCAAGCTTACCGTTCCCTTTCAATTCATTGGACTTTTGTCGTCCAATTCCAAGGAATTGTGTTTTACAGTGGTTTCTTACACCTATTAACAAAATAATAAATTAAAATCGAGTAAAATAAACTGTAATATAATATTTGCAGTATCAACTCCTAATTTTATGAGATAATTTATTAGTTTTCATTGTATTTGATAACGGAAAGCTTAATTTGCAATAGGGTGAAATGAAGATCAATAATAGATTTTCAAAGAAATAAAAGAAACAAATTTTATTTATAATAATACAAAAGTGACTGCCTATGCTAATGCTTATTAATAGGTCTAAAGAAAAAAAAGATTCTATTCTTTTCATATCAAAATTTATTCTTTAAGGCTTTGATACAGATTAATTTATAAGTATCAATCATGGCTTATGCATTAAATTCAAGTAAATTTGTCCTAATGGCTGTAATGTCATTCTGCCCATATCGTCAGGTTGGTCAGAAAAGCCTTAAATGTCATACAACAAAGTGATCGGTTCAATCCTGAGCGAAACAAGCAACGTTGAAACTATAATAATACTAGTCTAAAGTTGAAAAGTTTAAAATATTTAAACAGATATAATTTTGATTTATATAATAAGCTAATATTACTATTAGATCCATTTTAATTAAATTTTATTCATTTAAGGTTATTAAATGGAAAATGTGAAATTTATAAAAAAAAATACGAATTGTAACATTATTTATTAAAATGTTGGAAATACGATAGTGAATAGTGTTCAAATATACGGAAAGTCGTTTCAACTCTTAAAACAATTATTCTCTTGAACATAGTGAAAGTAATAATGCCAAAGAGGAAGTGGTCTTTAATCTAGTGAAGAACGAGATAGGATTTAAAGGATTTAGAATTATAACCGATTTATTGATTTTATAATAAAATGGAAGGAAATGAAGTTTACAAAGTTAAATAAAATTTCAATAAATATATAACGGATTTTAAAAAGATCACCAAAACTAAAAAATAAATCAACAATGTTTAAGCAATACAAGACAAGTTTACTAAGTACGGATCTTAAAATTCGCATATCATTTTTAATTTTTTAGTTAGTAATTGAAAGACTCAATAGATTCGATATTCAGTTGATAGACTTATTAAATTTGTAATAAAGAAACACAATTAAGGTATAACTTTGGTCAAATTAGCTTATTTATTAAACAAAAAATCTCTATTAAATCAAATTGAAAATCTTATTATATTTTGTTACTTGGATTATTTTATTATTATAAACTGCCAATTTCTTAAAAATATTTTTTATATAAATTTGCAAAAAATTTGAATCGGTTTTCTTTAATAGCAAACCATACTGTGGAGAAAGTGACTAATTATCTTGATTAATATTTACAGTAAGTCAAAATAAAAGTTTAAACGGGTAACCCATCGGAAATAGATGTTTGATTTACATTAGTTGTTTATTTACATTCAAATTACTATAAAAATATGACAAGTTTTTATTATGATTAATTAAGAGCTTTGATAGAAAAACTTTTAAAAATTATTTAATGTACAAGAGTTGTGATTTATTTAACGAGAATAATAAATGAATCTATTTTACGAGTTTATAAAATACAAAAATTTTAAATCTTGATAACGATTCTATTTTTAATACTCTAGTATTTAATTCACCACAACGCACACTTTCAATAAATCTATCTATCCATTTCTACCTCCAGGACAAGTAATTCGTAATTATACATAAAAAAGTCGGTGCTTGAAATTTTCTTACAAAGTTGACAAAATTTTGTTAGTTTGGTAAGTGCAAAACTTTGTTTAGATTGTTGAGAATGAGAACAAGTTTTAAAAGAATAATACTCAAGAATTTCAATATAAAAATCTTTATCGAAAATTTTCTTGAAAGGTTTAATCTTCCGAAGAAAGTCTGAAGGATTCATAACTTTAAAGTTGATATGAGAAATAAATGGTTGAATTAAATCCCCAAAAGTGGAAATATTATCGACGGTCCAGGTAGTAGCGTCAGATGGAAGTAATCCATTGGATTGAACAACGCTCCATTCAATAAGTTTGTCCCAAATTTCAATTGTTTTTAAAGAATGTTTATCCTTAGTAAGAAGGTCAAGTAAAATTTCATGTTTAATCGTCGTGAAATCATCCGCTCTGAAAATCAATGAAGGATCTTGTTGAAAAGTGCTTTCGTAGAATTTTGTTAACTTTTTGAAATGATTGAAATTATAAGCAACGTCTTGAATGAGGACAAAATTTTGTTTCAATGATTTTATATCTTGTAGAAGATAATCTTCAACGTGATCGCATAATTCGGTTAAACCTAATTCATTAGCAGCGATCAAGATCATAACATTTGTTCTGGTATTTTTGGATGCAAGGTCAATAACACCGCAGTATATATACCTGTTTTAAAATTTGACGTAGTTAGTTTCAGAAAAATTCATACATCATATATGTTACCGCTTCTTACTTGATGATTATTTCATAAATTTTGACGGAAATACCAGGTTTTTGAAGTTTAATAACGTTATTTTTTGTCTTGCTGATACGATTACTTCCGGTTAACAATGTACGAAAATATTTTGAACGAAGTTTTAAAATGCAAGAATGTAGGTTTAACATCTTTGTGTTTGGTTCTTCTCCGACCAATATTTCAACATCTGAAAATTCACCAGTGTCAAGTAAATCATTATATTCCTTGGAAATTATTTTCAACAAATCGGTAGACATTTTCAAATTTTCAAAAATTTTTAGTAAAAAAAATCCGATCGAATGCACTAATTTATGATGGTGGTGTTAAACCATTTATCGCTAATTTCGGAATGAAGCTAACCTTTTAAATTTGAACATCATGAGTTCCGGCCTGAATCATTTTTTATCACAAAAATTCATATGATTTTGACAATTTAAAAATGTAACACTAATGATTTTTTTAGATTGAAAAATTTTAATTTAATAAATGTTACACGAATTTTTGAATACAAATTTTGTGTCAAAAATTTTTTACAGAAAAAAAATAATAAAAAAATCATAAGTATAAAAAAAAAAAAAAAAATAGAAAAAGTTTATTTTCGTCAAATACGGACAATTTTGATGAATTAAAATGTAATGGTGATAATTTAATAACGGACTTTACAAGTAGGAAAAAGGCAAATGAAATTACATTTTTTAAAACAAATAAACATTTAAATTTTGCAGTATTCTTTTTGTTAGCTTACTTTTAATTTTTTTTTTCGCAGTTCATGGTATAATAAAATTTGTGCATTTGCTCTGATATATATACTATATAAAGATTAATTACACTTGTAGTACCCGCACCACCGCAACATCAATGGTAACTTAGAACCAAAGAATGGTATTAGTTTTATACTGTCTAGAATTGATATTCAGCAATCGATTTTAAACAATATTAATACCTAAAAATACGACTCAGAATCTGAAGCCAAGAGAATCAAGTCCGGACTAAATCTCAAGTTATCCACTTAAAATTTTTAGATTTCAAAAAAAAGAAAAAAGAAATTACCTTATATTATTATTTTTTAGCCTATTCAGTTCCTCAGGCAAATAAAATACATTAGGAACACTTGACGTTTTGATCCTTTCGATATTTATGGAAAATCTTGTATCATTTTTCTTCCGTTTTCCTAATAATAATGAAATACCATGACACTTATTAATATCTTTGGTTCGTAAGTTCTTGATGCGAATACTAAACAAATATCATATTCTTTAGTTGATGAACAAATAGTTTCTTTTGCTAAAGTGTGATGTGCGCTTAACGTTGTTAATAATTTCTTAGAATGTTTAAATGAAATTTTTCTAATATTTTGTGATAATGAATGTGTTAGATTTGATGAAGTTATTCAAATTACGAAATAAATTTGATCGTCATTTTTTATTAATTTCTGATCAACGAAAGAAAGCTTGAAGAAATAAAAGAAAATCAGCACCTAACTCATTATAAAATACAAAAATTTAATTTATGTGAATCTTTTTCTGCGGAACTATATTATGTAATGGAAATCTTATTTTCGTCTCGTTTCGTTCGAATACAAATCACATTAATTGATAAATTATGAATCGATCAATATAAAATTCAATAAAATTCAATGCAGTAAACTTATCTGTTACAAACTTTTTTTACTATGAACACTTTGAAAGTAATTTAATATAGACTCGAACGGAATATTAAGGTACTCGGTTCCAATTGACAAAGTGTACGCCATTCTCCGGCGAACCACAAATTTTAATTTTGTATATAAATCTAACTAATCATATTCGTAAAATTAGTCAAAAAAGAAATTATTATTACTTTAAATTTATTTTTTCAAGCAATTTGTATCTTTTTTATGCCCTAAAATTTTATTAAAGAAGTTAATTCATTTACACCTATTTTGCTACTTATTAAATTCTTCAAAGCAACAAGCCAACTGCAAATTTATAGCTCCAGTTTTCCTCTCGGGTCTCTTTCTTTCGAAGGCAGTATTGCATAACATATTGAATGACGGATTATAAGAAATGCTTTCATACCCAACTCATTGTATGATATTAAGCAAAATTTTTCGTGGTTAATGATAAAAAAAAAATTTTTTTTTTTTTCGAAGGTATTCATTCTCCTTCCGTCAATAAATCGTCAGATACTATAACTTTTCATTTTCTCATTCCTGTAAAATATAATGGAAAGTAAAAAGAGATTAGAGGACAGTATCGGAAAGAGAAAAAGAAAAAACGAAAAATTAACAATAAAAATAAAAACCACTAATATCAAAAATGGGTGTTCAAAGGTTTTGTTGCTTCCTCAAAGAAAGGCGTGTGAAAAGAGACCAACTCCTCGAAGGAATCTTTCACGTGTAAGGCAAACACTTCTAAGAGGATGGATAAGCAAATCCTAGGGAGCGTCTGTATCCAAGTACTAAACCGTCGCTCTTAGCTTAATACTAAGGATACCACCAGAAAATGCTTCTCTTTTTAAAGCTAAAACCTATTTACTAACCACATCCTTAAACAAAAGCAGTTGAAGAAGTAATTTGCGGTGAGGACACGATCAGAAGGACAGAAACTAAAGGGAAGTGATCACTATTTAACCCAAATAATGGCCCTTTACTACCTGCCCAGACATCGTTAAAGGAGAAATAAAAATAAAAAAAGATACTTCCCATAAATAATTGCCTTACTAAGCACCTGGACTATGAAAAGTTTACATTAATAAACCACTATCTGTCGCTGAAATAAAAAAGCATTAAATCTATGATATTAACATCCCGGGTATCGTTTCAGTAAGTTAACCTATATTTTGCGAAGCTCGTTGAGCTCGTGATCAGAATTGAAAACTATTACAAACAAAGTTCTTGTCAAAAGCGTGAAAAATGTTGGAAGAGCGCGTTTATAAATCAAATTAGAAGCAAGTGTTCAAATTGCACGGTTCCGTCAAAAAGAGAAAGAAACGACCTCGTAAAGATAATTATTTTTAGCACTGGGGTAATACTGGAATAGAGAATAAGTGGAGAGGGGAAGTGAAGGAGTGAAGAGTTGAGGAGGTGGGGAAGAGATGAAGAGGTGAAGAGAGGAAGAGGGGAAGAGGGGAAGAGAGGAAGAGGAGAAATATGCTTAAGAATTTGAAATTTATGATTCTTTTATAATGAAAGAAAAAATGATGTAATATCAGATCAGTCTGTATAGATATTTTTAATCTATCCCATATTAATTATTGCTCAATTTAGCAAGTATAAAAATTTATCCACCTCACCTGCAGCATGTTCTCGTGTAGTTTGCTTAAATTTTCGATCTTTGGGCTAAAAATTTTTCAAGAATTGCGCTACATTTTTACACATTACTTATATTTTTTGAAAGGATAGCAGATACTATATCTTTGAAACATATTTCATAATTCCTTCTAGATTACCTTTTGGTTCAATCTCTATTTATTGATTAAAAAAAAAATATTGTGGTCTGTTTGAAGATTCTTATCATTGCCAAATTTAGATGCATGAATTCTATATTATAAATAATATTGCTATTGAATACTATAAAAAGCGAAATACATAAATAATAAATACTTTTATGGTAGGTAAACATGAGCTTTTCGAATTAATATAACTCGTAATGAATTAATTAAAAAATCTTTATTTTTATGTAAGGTTGACAGTACAGTAATATACAGTAAGATTCTATCTTTCTTAAGAAAATTGTAAGCCAACAACTCTGCCAATTATATTGCTTATAATAAATATAACTATAACTGTTATTTATTAATTAAATTAATTATTTTCTGCGTTTAAATGTACAAATTTTATTAATGTTCGGTTTTTATTGATGTTCATCGTTTCATAATTCAAAACAAAATTTATTTTTTTAAAACAAAATCAAAAAAAAAATTTTAAAGCTGTTGATTATATTTCAAAACCTATCTAAAGAATTTTAGACTTATGTAAGAAATTCAATTATTTCAACGTAAAATTTTCTCCTAAATTATCAAAATTATCCATCTATACTTCTCATCCGAAGGTACCACCCCAATATTAATACCGCATCCAACTCGACCTCGATATCGATCTATAAATGATTTCTTCTAAGGTGATAAAATAAATTCAACTGAATTTGTTTTTTATTATAAGAAAGCAATGTTCCATTAGTTAAGTTACTTACTATGTTTTAGTAAGCTTTGCGAACTTCCGCATGTGGAATCCGAATCAAAATCGTAATAATTCTTGTGATCTTAAGCAAAAATAATTAACTTAACATCTAAAAGTCTATATAAAACAAGCAATTTCTTGCAAATGATATAAATATATATTGAAAATTTAAAAAAGGTTTGCTAACGAGAATACATGGGTTATGAGACAATAAATCATATGATCCGAACATAAGTTTTAATAGCATACCTCCTATATGGGAAGCAGTAGTAGAAAAGTATGAAATCTGGATTTTGGTCAAATTTTAATTTATTAACCTCAGTTCATGTATTTAAAATTAGGTGTTGTAGTTCGACTCGATAGAGATTTAACACTTTAATAAAATTGGGGCAAGGAAATAAGAGACATTTTGATAGGTAATTGATATCCTTTTAGCTTTTGCTTTCTTCATGACTAAAGTATGACAAATAAACTTCAAGAAAACAGACATAAAATAGAAAAGGGATCCTTCCAATTGCAACACGACAATGTCGATTAACTAAGATGAATGAGAGAAGTGATTCGAATACATATCGTAAGTATTGCAAAATTAATTTCGGGTAAAACAATTTAGAATACGCCTTGAATGACTTGATGTACTCTTTGAAAGTATGAATATAACCAATACGTCATTTTTTACAATATTTTATGAAAACTAAAAAAAAATAAAAATAAAATAACGTAGTTTACATCGTAAAGAAGGAAGAGACGCCCTAAAAAGATCAAGGCAAATATCCTGAGGACTTTGGCTATATACAGTATAATTATTTATTAATATATTATATTTATAATCGAAAATTTTAAAAAGTTTTACGAAATAAAAACTCTTTTAATATATATTAGACATGAATCACACAAATTGATCCACGCCTATAATAAATTGTGTAATGTATGTATTAATGTGTTTGTTAATTTAAAATATGTGATGAATTTTTTTCTTACGTGACATAATTACTTTGAAAAGTCAAATAATAGTGTCGTTTCAAAGTTATATTCTATAAAGATATTGATGAGATTAAATCAATGATAAAAAAGAATGATAAAAAAATGTAAAAAAAGTATATTACGTAGTACTTGAAGATGCTTTCATTTAAAGATGTCGAAAATCAATTATTATGTCGTGTACAACCATTTAAATAATTAAATAATTTTTTTTAAAAAAAATTGACTAAATAAATATTTTGCAATATTTTTTAGATAATTATTGAATTACTTTAGTTTTATATTGTAAACTATAATTCAGTTAGTTTACTTCTTTACTCATGACTTAACGTTTTAAAATGATAATTTGATTATGTTATAAATAAATTATGATTATAAAATAAGAAAGTAAGTTGATTATAAAATTGACTTTAAAATATTGCGAAAATATCTTTGTTAATTATAGTTTCCATAGTTACACTTGCATTTCATATGCAATATCTTAATACACTTATAAAACATTTATACTCTTATGAAACTTAAGTAATGTCCATTACGATTTTAATATGATACACCTTTGTAAGTCTCGTCAAGAGAAAGCCAAAATAGAACAAATATTTTTAATAGTTTTAATTATTTATTAAGGTAAAAAACAAATACGAAAAATCTTTTATACATCGAAGTTGGTTGGAGTAAATCAATCACAGTTTTATTGGAATTCAGAAAAAAGGTAGAAAATTTTATACCCGAGAAAGAAATTACAAGACAAATACAATAGTACAGTTACACGCGTTATTAATACGAATTAAATTATCTTAAATTTTCTAAAAGTTTTAAAATTTTTTTTTTATAATACATTATTTTAATTTATTTATTAAAGTGAGGTTTTTCTTTTTCATCCTTAGCTAAAATAAAAAAATTCGAATGGTTTTTTATTATAAAATTTCTTGTAATTTCAATATTTAATACAAAATATAAAATATCACTAATGTTTGAATAAACTACATAATAAAACTGTCCTTTTTATGCAGATAAAAATTTATTAATTACCTAAATTATTAATTAACATTCTGTATTAAGTTTTGAATTATCTTCTTCATCTAATGAGTTTAAAATGATTAAATTATAAGTTCGAAATTAGTAACTATATTTATTTATTTCTAAACTTATAACTTTTTTGTATTTTTTGTATATAATAGTTCCAATTCCTTCATTTATATAATTAATAAATCATTATATTTATAAGATATTAAAACGAAACCAAACTTTATCAATTTACAAAATTTACAAATAATTACTTTGTCATTACTACATTTAATTTTTTTAAATCTTCTTGTTCTTTTAATTAAATTAAAAATATTTAATGACAAATACAGTTATTTATAAAAAGCATAATAATAATGAAATAACTTATTACCATTAGAATAATATGAAGAATTCTTCTTAGATTGACCAAGATTTATATTTGTTATAATTAATACATTAAGTTTTAATTATTACATTATATAAGCTGAATTCCAAATAAAAATATTAATAATTACCAACAATTGTTGTAGAACCAGCTTAATATAATCTTTATATATTCTTTATTTAAAAGATAAACAAATTAATGCTTCTTATTAATTAAATAAATATACTAATAATACTTACTATCAAGAAGTTTAAGACTATTTTGCTTGCTATCATAAGCTTTTTTTAAAAAATATTCAAATTTATATTAATAACTAAATTTTTAATCATTTTTATAAATTAATATATAATTTATATAATTTAATATAATAAATAAATAAATTTAATAACTTGCCTTTAGTAGCATTTTTTTGTTCAGGTAAATCTTTAAAGGTATAAAGTCCACTAAATTTCTAACTAATGAACCAATAGAACTCTTATCAAATTCAATTGATTGTATATTATTAAAATTAATGTATTCTTCTTTATTTTCATTTTGATAATTTGATTTTCTCATTTTTATAATTTATTAATTAAAAGTAACAATTTCGGGTCCTTTTAATTGACTAGCATCCCAACATTTTATCATTAAATTATTTTATTCTAATGAAACTTCTGGTACTATTTTTGGTCTCATTTTATTTACTATATTCATTGCAAGATCATGATCAAAATTAGCAAAACGCGGTAGTCCAGATGAAATCTCCCACAATTGACTTTTTTTCATGAAGGTCAGAAAAAGATGCTACTATGTAATAAATTATATTGAATTTTTTTTCCATGTAAGTTGATTATGATTTTTTTGTAAAGATTTTCTTAATCTATATGATATAAATCCATTACAAGAAAATAATCTTTTTATATGGACTTTGAATAAGACCACAACTTTGAGCAAAAAAGTTGCGATTTACTATTAATGTTAATTGAGTTTCAGCCTGTAAGTAAGAACTTAATTGATTAATACTTTATATATATAAAAAGATAAAAAGTTCATTATTAATATTTTCAAAATTAACTACCTCTTCAAACTACCTCTTGTTAGCACTTTCAATATTTTTTTAATCTTTCTATTTCTTATTAATACTTGTTTATTATAATCCCATTTGTTATAACTTCCAACAATCCAACTGGTATAATTTCAGAGCATCCACCTTTCGTTAAATACTCAATAATTTTGAAAATTATTATATGGTATCCAATCAATTATTTTTTGAGAAACAACTGCTTCCAACTGACATTTCTTTATTAAATTATCAATTTCAATATTCCAGATGTCCATTTTTGTAAAGTTTGCTTTTAAATAATTTCGAATGCAATGCTCAAAATATGTAATTGCTAAACATTCGTGCTTGCAATTTCACAAACACTTTTCATTCCTTGATTTGTAACAACTTTGAAATCATCATAACTTACATTTAATATTAATATTGCCTTTGATTTTTCCTCATTTGAGAGAGATTCGTCAGTATAAATTTTTTGTTGTTGAAATTCATGCTGCGAATCTGAGTTTGAGTAAATGTTATAACCTGTTAATGCAAATATTTTTTTTAAATATAGCGTGAACCAATTCCTGACGAAAGGAGGTCATTATACAATAAAGTAGAATAAAATGTTCTAAATAAAAAAAAAATAACTTTCTGATTGTATCCAAATAAAATGATACTAAATCTGTTACACAAAGTCGATCGCCGATAAAAAAACTTTTCTTAAACTTTATAGAATTTTCTGTCTTACGAATAGATATAAATATTTTACATAATGTGTATGTATATAATAGTAGGATCTCATTATTTCAAATCAAGTCCAAATAAAAGTTAACGATAATTGAAATTCATAAAATCATGGATGTGTGTAATGAAAGTAATCACAATTTTTGGAAAGGCGTTTTTGTATCAAGTTGCATTGACATTAATATTTTCAAAATCTTGCGTTACATTAACTACAAGCTTAATCGAAACGGGTTTGGTACGAAATCCCGAAGGGTCATAATCCCGAATGACCATAATCTTGAATGATCATAATCCCGAACGATCATCACGATCATCATCCCGAATGACCATAATCCCGAATATTATTTTTATTAAATATTTTAAACAGTTCTATCACGAGTCTAACGAAATTTTTAAATTTTTTCTTTTAAAAGTTAAAATTTTTAAATCATACAATGCAAAATCTCATCGAAAGAAAGTTTAAAAATCATTAATAAAATTTTAATAATGTGCGATAAAAATCGAATATTGCAATTAGCAAACTATTATTTTTTAAATTATGATATTCGGGATTATGGCCATTCGGGATTAGGGATTATGACTTCGAGATTAGGGATTTTGATCTTCGGGATTTTGAACGGCTCCTATCGAAACGTAGATATTAGATGATTTATCACACCATATATCGTCAATGCATTTAACTTTTGTGAACATATTATTGACAATAAATGTATGCAAGATTGTGAAGTATTAATTTGTCAACGTGGATATTGGGCATACATGTGTTTATATGTAAGTACCGAAGTTATTTCTGTGAAAATGTATTAATTTAATATACCATCATTAAATATAAGATTAGAAAAGGCAAATAATATTATCAGGTACTATGTGATGACAGTAGAAATCCAGATGAATTAAATTTGAATAATGAAGTATATGCATCGTAATTTACAAGATATAAACAATTAAATCTGCCAGATAAAATTAGTTGTATTACCAAACATATTTGGCTTATATTCAATAGAGAAAAGTTGTATTAAACAACTGGATAAAAACAACTATTTTAATTCTCTAAGTTAAGCAAAATGAAAAATACTGCTAGAAAATCATGAGGCACTTTATTTTTTTATTCGCATTAAATCAATAAGATACATAAGATACATGCACTTTATTAGCGCAAGAGAAAATTGTTCCAACAAGACAAGAAATTAACTATACCAACAAATAATTCAACCATACTTGGATGAGGATTGCAATTACCGGGCAAATATAAAGATAGGTTTAAGTTGAAATAAAATTAAAAAATCGGGTCATATCAAAATATCATATCTAATACATTAATAGAAAATTCCAACTTGCCACCACCAATTTCAGAAGAACCTCGCATTCCATTTACAGAAATTAAAGATTCACACTATTAAACATTTATACTTTTAATAATGTAATCTATCAAAATTGTATATTGTAATATTACTATAAGTATAATCAAATGATAAATAATATAAATAGTTTATATGATAATATAAACTTTAATCGACATACAATAAAAAAATATCTTAAAATCTATCATAATACAAATATTATATAATTATAACAACTTAAGATAAATATAATTATTTTAATTATTTTACAAACTTTTCAAACTTCATAAAATTATAATTTCAAATTATTTTTTTCTTAATCTTTTAAGATTTTAATGTAAAATCTTTTAACGTTTTAATTATTAAATTATTTGCTTTATTTGCTTAATATTATAAAACAAATTATTAATTATCACTATTTGCAAATTTACATACAATAAAGTTTGGGTATTTATTCATAAAATATAAAAATAATAAAGAAAGTTAATACTCGAATTTTTCATATTTATATTTTAGTAAAATAAAGAAATTTATTTAAATTCTAAGTAATATCAATTTTTTTAAAAAATATTTTATTTATTTTATTAGAGATTCTTATAACATTATAGTTTCTTTCATAAATATTTAAAACTTATTGATACAGAATTTATATATTTTTTAATCTTATAAATGAATAGTAAATTATTATCTAGAATGATATAATAACTAATTACAAATAAAACTAAATTTAATTCATGATTTTTCTATTTTAAAAAGAAAATACAACATTTAATTTTATAATTTTTAGTATTTGTTATGAATAATTCACTTTAATAGAATTTTTTTGACTTAGATGAATTTTTAACTTTTTTAAACTTTTCTAATAAGAGAATTAATAGAATAAGTGCTTATGTTTAAACTAATTATGCTAATTTATATTAATTTTTAATTTTTATATTATATTAATAATTTTCTTCTTCAATATTAGCTCTTTATTAGTATTTCAGCAAAATACTATAATTTAATAGAGCACTTGATGCTATTATTGGACTTATATCACAAGGTTATTAATATAATCAAATCAGTAAATACTATTTAAATATCTTTTAAAAATAGTATTATAGAAGTATTATCTTTATAAAGAAATAGTTCAAATAGTTTCTTTTCAATGATCTAATAATTTAATACATTTATTAACAATTAATATTGATTTAACACAAATCTTTATAATTGAATAATTCTACAAATTTCTTCAAATGTTTATTTGAATGTTGATTCTTAGTTGAAATAAAAATTTTAAATAAAATCCTTACTTTAAAAACTTCATTTTTTGCATTTACTGCTTAATTATTCAGCTTATAAAATATACAAGTTTAATTAATTTTTTTTAAAAATAAAAAATTGCATATCAGGTTTTTGCATACCTAATCTTGTCATTTGTTGTTTGCTATAATTCAACTCATTACCAAAAATATGCTGTAAAAATTCAGAACTTCATCTTTAGATAAATATTATATGAAATATTTACAATAACTTACTTTCTAATAATTTCTATTTAAATGATAAACTCCATCCTTTCAAATGTTCAATTTGATAATTTGGCTTAAGATTTCTAATTCCATGCTCTATAATGACGCTGAGTATACAGTATCTGTTGTCGATTTTCACAAATTCATTGATCAAAGTAACTTGGTAAAATTCATGAAAGACGTCGATTTATCATCAATGACTAGATTCAAACGTTAATCTATTTCAGTTTAAACAAAATAAAAAGTTAATGCAAGTTCTATTTGTAATATTGATAATTTTTACTTTTATCATAACGTGAAGTTAAAAAAAAAAAATTTTTTTGAAGTTATTAAACGCAAAAAACAATTCCGAATTTAGTCCGAGAACTTGATCAACATTGTACATCGACAACATCTACAGTATAGAGGAATACTTTGCCGATAAATTATAAAAATATCAACAAACTGTAGAAAGTAGGAAGCAAGCAAGGATAATAATCAAGTTGAATTCTCATTTGATAAGAATATCAAAACGATTTTGCCATTAAAAATTGACATTACCATTATCTATCTTCAGTTATATAATCCAAGAATGGCTAAATTTTTAAGTTCTTCGGTTATCTTTCTGTACCTTACATCTTACAATTATAATTTTAAGATTAGCAAAGTAGTTTTTTGTTTGTCATTCGTCTTGTAAATATTTTTTCTAAAAAAAAAAAATATATATAAAAAGTCTTTTTTTTTTTTTTTTTGTTTTACGACGCGGCGATTTTTTTTTTTTGTCTGTAAAATTGATTATCCAATTGATTTGTTTCTTATCACACTGATTTCTTTTGTCCCCTCCCCTTTATTTGTTACTCTAAATTATTTTAAATTGCTTTGAATGAAAAAATTTAATTTGCATCAATGAAAATGATGATCATTTCCAAAAATGTATAATCATTTACAAAATAAAAAAAATGATTGAAAATAATAACTAAATCGATGATATAATAGGAATGTTTTGATTACCATTCAACTGTTGTGAAAGCAATTTCCTATTAAGAATTAAATAAAAGATATAAGGATTAGTGGAATTTGATAATCAAGTGTCTCACATGTGCAGTAATTTATCCCCAAGATTTGGGTGGGTTTAGCGGGCTTAACGGAGGAAAAGCGGAGCAATCAAATGATGGGTTTCTGTTTTCGTTTTCTGAAACGGCGTAATTATTTTCTCACCAATTAGTCCTAATTAGATAAGTTCACAAAATAAGTATTCATCGTACAACATTTTTTTTTTTAAAAAAAAATTGATCATCGAAAATCGCAATAACACATTAACGCGTCACTCGTGTCGACATGGTTCATACGATTAAGAAAAAGTATCCATACCCGTTCAAAATTGATATTGTAATCACTTAAAAAATCAGATTTATACCTAGTCAGTTCGGGAATATGTTAATTTATTTAAAAAATAATAAATAATAACTCTAATTATATAATAATGACAATTTAAAAAATATATATATTTAACCATTTCCGCATGTTAATTTTCTAACCTCATACGAAACTTCAAAAGATTTTCTTTAAACATAACAGATGAACCCACATAATTTCTATCATTGAATGATTCAAATTTTTTTAACCAACTCGATATTATTACATTAGTTCCTTCCTTTTTTTTATTAGAATTATCAAATTTGTGATTCTTGGATATTTTAGAATTCATTCCAAAAACAGAAGGTAGAAATTTCTCAAAAAATGGCCGAATCAGATCTGGACTTGTTGCGCTTTGTAACAAATCCATATGTACTGGATAAAATGTTACATTCTCTTTAGTATACAGGTTAAAGGTGTTTACGATAGAATCATACGTCGCAGATGACATTTTAGTATCTTCTAATATACGTGGTTTATCAATATAAATTCTTAAAAATAGAAGATCTTCAAAGCACATCATGCATAGCTCTGAATCTATTCCATAAGTATTTAGGAAGTATTCATAAACTATTGGTGAAAGGATAAGCGACTTCCTTCTTGATTCCATATCGTTCATTTTCTCATCTTTAAAGTATTTTGTAACGACTTCTTTAATAACTTGTCCATGATAATCAAATTTTGATTTAAGAAAATTTAACAAATAAACTTTTTTCAGATTTCTTTCCGGCTTTAATACTTCCCAGAATAAGTTAAAAGCAAGTGAATATATTGGTTCACTGGATCGAATTGTACAGAAAACGTTCCAGAGGATATCCCCAATCTCATCCAATCGATGTTCAAACATATGAAGTGCATCAACAATAACGCTATCCTTTAGGACGAATCCCAATCTTATAAGATCGTTAAGGCGTTGAATCACATTGAAAACGGTTGGGCAAATCCAATCGGTACTTGGTGCTGGTGGAAAGAGGATAAGTAATGCTCCTTGCAATACTAACTCATTGACATCATTACAAATTTCTTCATAACCGATTTGTTTCCATAAATTCACCAAATCGGGGTGAATCAGTATTGCTCTCGCAATTACGTTTAATTGTCTACTATTTTCATAACCATCTTTGGGAGGGTACTCTTCCGGAGTTGAAAGTTGATGAATGTGAGGGTCGTAATTCAAATTTAGTTGCGTAAATTTTGGTCTTGGTGGGAATGGAAAAAACTTTTGACTCATAATCAAATCTTCAATGTTTTTTAAATTCTTGCGCAACATTGCCGGTGCGTAATTGATCACGTGAGGTCCCGCAGAAAGAAAATGAAATAATTCCATATCATTACCTTTTAAAGGTACTGCATTTCCTAGTTGTTTACATCCTTCATCTAATAGGTAAAGGAACACCGATACCGATAAATTGCTTGCCCATGGCGATTTGATTTTTTGTTGAAATTCACAGATTCTATTAGCGTCAAGTTGATTAACGTTATGTTCGATTTTCAGATCTATCAACTTTTGATCGTACTTCCCAAAATGCATTAATAACCTTTGAACGAAATATCTCGAAATAATGACCTTTCTTGTAAGTAAATTTTGACATACAGGAATGTCAAGAAAACTTGGACCCAATTTTACGGCATGAAATAACGCATGAGTCTTTCCTGAACGGGCTAAAAGCCATATCGTTTTTGCGTATGGATCTTTTGCGATAGCTGCCCAACTTTTACAAGAGAGCGCCAATTTTAAAGGTTGATCAACATGTTTAAAAATATTTATTTTGATTTCATCTTCTAAAAATTGAAAGTAGTGTCGAATATTTGGAGAATTTAACATATACATCTAGAAAATTAAATAAAAAAAATTTTTAAAAGCCACCAAGGAACATTTATCCACATTTATACTATGCTATTTGTGTCCAAAAGAAGAAAGCTAATAAAGACATGCAGTTAATATTTATGCAACTACTTTAAACCAATTTAGTAATATTACAAATTAATCAAGTCTTTCAAAACATACTTAAACAGTATTTGTTGTCGGAATATTTTTTGAACAATTTTTCCATAAATTTAAAACAAAGTGAAAAAAAAACTTTCACAATTCGGGGTAACTTTATCAATCATTCCCCCTGATTATCTATTACATCACATCTAAAAAAAAATATCTAAAAAAGGCACAGGATGAAAGAAACAATCCTTGTGTTCGCTTGCTTAACTTTTCCAAATAAACGCTTTGATTTAGCAAAAAAAGAATTTCCAACATTCTACGGAGTAAAAAAAAATATTGCAGATTAAATCTTTTTTTAAAACGAGGAGAATTATTAAACGCAAATGTCATGGAATACTTTTTTTTTTTTTTTTTTTTTTTTTTTGATTTCACTCTTTGAATCCTTTTAATGTTTTTTTTTTTTTGATTTCTGAACCCTAAATAATGAAAAAACATTCTTTATAAGATTTTGAACGTTTAATAAATTTACGATATTTTTACGACCATGTCGTCGCTGCCTTTCCAAATTTGACAAGTGAAGTTAAAAACTTACTATACATATAATGAGTATGCTCTTGATATTTGACGTTTTTTGAACGAAGGAATCGGCATATTCATAATCGAATTTATATGAACGAAGACTTCGTAATCATAATCGAAATCATTCGGTATTATTCATTATAACAAACTTCGGTATACTGTTTATGTAATTTTTTTTCAACTCGTCTAATTTCCGCTCTTGCTTGACAAATTTTTCATGCGGGATAAAAAATATGACGAGTTTGTGTGATGAAATTTATTTTATTTTTTATTTAATAATTCCGTGTAAATATATAGTTTCACATAGGATTCTGAATGGTAAATAAAATTGCACATTTTAAGTAAATTTTCTATTTTAATGTTTGTTTATGTGAACAAGTAAAAATTAAAAAACGTCAGATCAATTACTTTGAAAATCAAACTGTGTATTTAATACATTTAAAATTGTTTTTTTGTAAATATTTATGCTTCATTCATCATAAGACATGTGTGGTTAATCTGCATAAACTAAACTGTGCATGATACAAACTGTATTAGAAATATGAAACAAATTATTACACAAATTAAGCTAGCCATTTGTCAAAACGGTCATTTTTCTCGATAAAAATTTACTGATTAAAAATGTGACTCAATTTACACATTTCAAAGTTACTTCAGATAGTTCGACATTTTGAGCACAGTTTGTTTAGATCATGTTTTGTAACGCAACCCCACCCCACTCAACATATAGCATAGGTGCAGAGTTATGTTCTTACAACATAAGCAATCACAAGCAATTTCTATTATCTCGCTAGGGAGGAACCATATGATTAGCGATTATCGAGGACAGGAGCGGGAATAACTGTCGTGAACGTCCGAGTAACGAAGAGATCAAAAACTACCTGTGAATTCATTCTATTTTCTATTGATAGAAATAAAGCGATAAAATGTGATACTAACTACGTAGAACAACAATTCTGTTCTTATGCTAAAGCAAGTAAGAAAATAAAGAAATATGATAAATGGTAATTTAGAATTACCATGAAAGCATTTAAAAGAAAGATTTTGAAGATGTAAAAATGTGATCATAAGGAATGAAAGCATACGCAAAAAGAATCCCTGCAGTTATTTTATTACGAATAGAGATTAGCCTTCGGGTAGATCCCTTAAAGCGAAATAAGGAACTTACCTTTAATAGTAACAATATCTTTCAAACTTGGGATACTAATAATCGCTACCTGAAACTGCACAATGTATTTCATTTCTTTGTTTATCTTTCCTATTATGGATGACAAGAATTAACTACAATATTTCATTCAAATAAATGATTTTCGAGTAACTCCGATATTAAACATCTTATGGTTAGCTGTGTTTTTCAACTGGTCTATTAGAACAATAAAGAGATGTTGAAATTATCATGATTATCAGCATGAAGCATGCAAGGAGTAAATGGAACTTTGATCAAGAACCAATATATTTAAACCTGGAACTATCCACCGAACAAATTTATAATTTAACTTATCCGTATCCTTGATTTATTGAAATCTTGATAATAGAAACCTAAATAAGAAGTTACTTGTAAATTTAATTTTAAATGAAAGTTTTAAAAAAGCAAGCCTAGATGCTTACAATCAATAAATAAATGAACAATAGTTTATTGAAACATAGCCCAATCCGTGATTATTAAATTTAAATTTTAAAAAAAAATCTAACAATGTAAAAACTACTATTTAGTATTTATTATAAAATCATTAATATCCGTTATGTATGCAATGCACTGTATGTGCTGTATGATATGCATGCATTCAATGTATATGCAGTTAACCTTAATTTTTAATTTTATTGAAAACTTTTAAATAAATTATAAATTTGCTATTTAAAATAATAATTGATACATTTTTTTTCTAATACATTCTTATCCTAGTCTACTACTCTACTTTTATCTGGACATTTGTCATGTCTGTTATAAATGGAATGGCGATGCATTTTCATCATTTGGTGGTACATGTCACCATTCTATGATGCATGTTGATGCTCGTCGCTTACTTAGATCCGACAAATAAAAGTCTAAATTATCTAAAAATAGTCGTCGTGTTACTGAGAACTTAGGTAATTAACAATTTAAAAGTCCGTTACTTAAACAAAATTTAAAATAATTTTAATGCAATTTATTTCTAATTTGTAGAAAGAAATCTTTAGAAATAATCCGTACTCACCATTTAAACACATAACCTTTCTTTTTGAATGGTCGCACTATAATGTAACTTCATCCGAAGTTTTTATATATAGAAATACATTCAAATATGTTCACATTTTATGAATACTCTTCCGTTGCAAATTTTCGTTGAAACTTTTATCACACTCTTGACATTTGAGGAAAGTATTTAGCACTGTTGTCTTCGATTCGATTTGCAGTGGTGCACTAGAAAGTTCTTGCGTGGTTAGCAGATGCGTGATGACAATTTCACCCAAAGCATTCTTACACTGTTGGCTTCCCACTATAAATACTTTTCTCATAAAATTCACGTTCGTTCCTAAGTTCATTTTGGGCCATCCGGATTCCAGCAGACAGATTCCAAAATCAAATGTTCCATATATCGGCAGTATATTAATTCGGTGCATCAGCTCTATACTCTAGAACTTCTCTAAAATAATAAGTTGATTTGATGAATTAGCGTATTTTTTGAGTGAAATCTTTATAATAATTTCACGGTCATTAATCCACACGAATATTACCTAAAAAAAAATGGGGAGAAATAGACGACAATTTTCGATGCAGTAAAACATATTGCGCGATATATGTTCACGACATAAAAAAGAAGGCCAGCCAGTGCATTAATTGGCGAAGGAGAGAGATTAACATTGTCGATTATCAATTTAAGAGAATCAACGATTTGTATTTTGGATATACTGATCTTCAATCGTTCTATATCATTTTATAAACCAGCTATATTGCGTGATGCCGAATTTACTGAAAATGACTGGATGTTACTCGCGATATGTTATCCTCATTAGATAATGCCGTTTCTCTGGTGCTACATCTATTATGCCATATAGATCCGATGTTGAGGAGATTAACATTAATAAACTCAGATTCTTATTGTTATAATTAATGCTGTTCATATTGAAGGTAGTGAAGCTCGTAAAGCTGATTCTGATGTGGCAAAAGGCCTTGAACCTCATTTATTATTGTCGAGAAGTTCAACGGTCCAACTTATGGATGAGTCTGGTTTGGTTTATGGTTATGTAGAAATTGTTTTTGAAGAAAGTCAGTATTGCTGTCATAATGGAGTTTGATAACTATTCTGACCTTACTATTCCGGCTGCTGATGGGAAAAAACTTGTTCTAATTATGCTGGAAGGCATACCTGGGAAGGAAAAAAAGGTTTTTGCTCTCGTTTCAGTATCTGATTGCCTAACATGGACAATTAAGTGTATAAAAGTCATGGCCTGATATTGGAAAAGGCTATGATAGACCTCGGAAAAAAGGAATTTACTGCTGGCCTCTCGTTTGTGGCAATATCTCAGATCCCTACTCTCAAAATATTCTCTTCAGCCCATTTACGTTTAAAAGACTCCACTGCATTACATTAAAAACTGAGAGTCGCATGAGAGAATAATTGTTTGATTGAAATAACAGAATTTCAAGTTGTTTTTACTTTTTTCTATTCAATACTTGAGTCCCATCCGTGATGCTAATAAATTCTTGTGAGTAAAAACATGGTTTAATTTAAAAGTCCAGAAGTTATTTCATTTCAAAAAATTTCAACTGTCATCGATATATATCTAACTGTTGTCCTATATTTTGCCAGCACTTTATTTCAAAACAATTGTTTCGAATAATTCGCTGCGTACTGATCAAATCAACAATGTATTCATTGCAATGACACTTATAGAGACTGGCAAAAAAATATAGATCCACAGTCATCAACTCCTCATATAGTTCGTTTGCTATTAAACAGGTTACGAGAAATAGTAAACCATCTGAACATGAATTTTAAATAATCCCTATTTCAAAATGCAAAGAAAGATAAATCTAATAAATAATAATTTGTAATTAAAGAAAAGTTTATAAAACATCCATTATACCGTACATGATTATTTTTTTTAATTGAACAGCAACTAACCTATTCAGAGAAAAGAAATATAAAAATTGATAAAAATTGATGTAATTATAAGATGTCATACAAGAAGCTGTATGACAAAAGTATCAACCATTTATGCAATTAGATAGGCAGTAGTAAAAATTACTTACATGTTCTAGATCACTACAATACCTAAGGACCGAGAATTTGAAAGAGAATCTATGATTGCTCCTTATGGTTGAGCAAAATATTTTCTGATTGATTAACGTCACAGTAAATTTTATTGTTCAGAAAACCATGGTACTATCTATTTCAAAGTTTTTTGTTGATCGATAAAATGATAATGGTGGTTAATTTTCTGATGTAGGCAATAAGAACATGGGTGAATAAAGAAATTAACTTAAGTTTTTTTTTTTTTGATAAATGAGATTAATAGTGAAAGCAACTTTTAATAAATTTTCAAGATAAAAAGGAATATTCATAAGGATCTATTTAATCATAATTAATTAGTATGAACATAACATAAAATTTAATTTAAAAAACGTGCGTTTTGTAGTAAACATACCTCATAATCAAAGTATTATCAAAGCATTATAATAATTATTCATGGAAATATTTCGTTCGGAAGAAATTTAAGGCACCATCTAAAATTTAATGTGTAAATGTATCGAACGGTTTAATATCACTCTTCTCTCAAAAGTTCGGAAAGATTTTATGGAACTGTCGGAATGTCAGTCCATAACGGCTGGTAACTAAGCTGTTTGAGGGAGCAAATTGTTAAGCATTTACTACTTGACTTCAGTAATAAGTTTCCATAATACAAAGATAAAAAACTCAGAACTTTAGGTTAACGGTGATCATTGTTATTTTTTATTGTATATGGTACAAGTTTAGTACTTAAAAATAAATACAAAAAAAAAGGAAGAAATTATACCTTCGGTGTTGAAGCTTTCCGTACGTGAGAAGATGAAGGAAGTAAAGTGTTTTTTACAATAGGGTTTTTAAAGTTTGTTATGACGCAAAGTACCATGATGCTTTCGGTCTCTCCACATATAAAATATACCCTGGTAATCACCTTAATTCAATTGTTTTCATTGTATTATTAACGGCTATTATTTTTGTAAGACCCATAATATTTTAACTTGTGACGAAAATCTATTTGTTTTTTTCTATTTATCTGATTTCTTTGGTGAGATCACCTTATCTATGTTAATATTTTGTTGCGTGCTTGAAACACTTTTGAAAGCACTAGAATAATAAGTAATAAATTATAATATTAAATTAGTATGATATTTTCAGCCTACACATTTTTTTATAATATTAATAAATGATATTGATAATATAATCTGTATTTCGAAAAAAGGTATATTGAATATACAGTATCTTTGAATCTAATAAAAATTAACTATCCTTTTAAGCTTTAAAAAATTATATTTAATAAAATTAAATTGACATCAACAATAAATAATTAACATTCAAATGTCAGATTGATGTAGCCAGAAATAAAATTAAAAAAGAGAAATTAATAACGAGTTTAAAGAAACACATACCGCGTACTTATGAAAGGAAACGAAAAAAAACTCATGAAAGTAAATAAAGATCACAAAATATCTGAAAAACATCAAGGAAATATTAAGCCGAGCAAATATATTTACAAAAATCGAAAAATTTTAATAAATTTTTTTTATAGTATTTACGTGTGTATAGTATTTGTAATACACGTGATCACACATTTTATTATTCACCATAAAGTTATTTTTTAACTTGTTCAGTTGATCACTTTGGCAGTTATGGGCTAGTTGTCGGGATGATGTGACATCGTGGGATAGGGGCGGGAATCGAGTTTGCGGATCGACTCCTAGCCTTGTCGAAGTGAAGTCAAAAAAAAATTTTTTTTTTACGTAATATATATTCATCACGTGATAAATTATGAAAAATCTGCAATTGGTTTATCATTTCCATTTATATTTTACAAATTTTAATTTTGGTTTATTAGATATTAATCGCATACATAACGCTAACTTGGTAATTTATTATGTTTAATGCGTTTTGTCAGATAAATGATAACGAAATTACATTTATTAAAATATTCATTAAAAATTGCTTGAGTAATATATATTCATTAAATTCATTCTGTTGTTTCTTCCTAGTTATGATTATTTTTTATTTCTTGTTAATTGTTGGATGCTTCTTGCTAATATTTATTTATATTGATTTTGTATTTTGTGATATTTGCGAGCGCGTGAATTATATAAAGTTTTAGTTTTATTTTACGATGAAAATGCTTTAAATATTGTTGGTGACAATTTAATTTTTTAATTTTATAAATATGAATTTAACATAATAAAAGATGCAAGAGATGTTAAGATAAAAATTTTAAATAAAAAAAAGTAAATGATAGTAATGATACAAAGAATAAAGAATAAAATTAAGAAATAAAATATGTAATAGTTATTTGCCGCGAAATCAGAGATATCATCAGTTGGGCGATTGAGCGGTAAATAATAATCATTATAATTTCAGATTTTTTTATCTTATTTTTTTTTATATAACTAGCAAAAATTATTATTGCTTATATTTTAAACAAACTTATTTCAGAAATTAAAATTAAAATTACATATTTTAAAGAAAGTAACAAAGAGCTTACAAATAAGCTTGACTTGATACTTCACTTCTTCACTTGATTAAAGAAGAAGCTTACTTTTTGATTTGTTAAATTCTTAAACTATCATAAAATTAATTTTGCTAAAATAGATAATGAAATCAGTATTTATTTTTTTTTAAAGTACATACATAAGTATTATTAGTAAATTTTAATTCATCTGTTGAAAAATTTTTTTAAAATTGATTATTAAATAATAATAATTTATTATAATATTAATATATATTTATTTCACGAAGCATTTTTTCTAAAATTCAGATTTTTTTTATATTAAAATCGATCAATTGAATAATAATAATTTATTATAATATTGATTTATATTTATTTTAAGAATCATTTTTTCTGAAATTCTGATTGTTTTTTTTATATATAATCAAAATTATATATTTATATTATGATTATAAACTTATAAATAAACAATTAAGTAAATTTAATTTATTTGATATATTAAAAAATTTTTGTTATTAATAAGCAAAAATTAGTCAGATGTAAACGTTACAAAAAAAATAATTTATGAAAAATTTTCTTTTTTTTACAATAATAACATCTTTTTAAAAAATAATTTCAAAATACCTGTATAATTTTTAACAATTCTTTGTATTCTAAATATAAGAAAAATATCAGGTGAATTTTTTATTGAAATAGCTATTGAACAAAATTTGTGCTAACTAAATTGATAAAATTATCAATTACATTTATAATAGTTATAATAGTTAAGATTTCAATGGAAATTTCTAAAAGAAATTTCTAAAGAAATTTAAAAGTAAGAAGAATTAACTTCTGAAATTGTACCTGTATTAAAAAATCTAAAAGTAATTTATTTAACATAAAAAAGTATAACAAATAGTATAATGTTTTCTTTTAGTTTTATTTAC